TGAAAAAAATTTAATTAAGGTGCACAGCTGAACCTCAAAAACACTGTTGTACATTTGAGGCAACATTTACATTGTTTGTACCTTGATAAATGAAGAATGTACATGCACAGCACCTTTTATTCTGACAGTGCAGACAGAGTACACATCAAACACTGAGGCTCTGGAATGGACAGAGTGCTCTTGAATAAAGAGCTTCATCACTGCATCTTGTGTCTTCTGACTCTCTTCTTCAGTACAGAAAAGATTTACATCAACAACTGGACCTTCCCAAGTTTTAGCTGAATAACCTTGATCTTAAAGTCAAGGATTATTATCCAGTAATTAAATGTAAGACTGTTTATTCAGTAACTGCAACGAAACTAATGTGAAAGTTCTGTGGTTATAAGTATGAGGAACTGAAATGTGGAAATACAGAAATGTGGACATACAGACCCTTATAGGTAGTTAATGACATCACAGCTTTTTTAACAGGCACATAGTGCCTTACTCATTCATACAGATGCTTGATATTTATCAAATTCTTGCCAAAAAAAAAAAAAGAAACGAAGTAATCAAACCTTCATAAACACATTTCTCTCAAATGCAAAAAATATAATTTATTGAATGAGAGTTGCAAAATAAAAAAAATCTACAATGTGAGATTTAGTAAAACATTTATGACATTTCATTAGTGTGGCCTTGCCAGCTTAAGGAGAGATCAAACCCCACACAAACTTAGAACTTGTCTTTTGACAGAGAAAGTCAGCAAAGTTAAGAGAATTCCACAGCAGCAGACAGATCAGTTAATAATGCTTTATTAATAACTATATTGCATAGTGTTTGCTTTCCATGACTACATGCTACTGAAGGACAGTTTCTTTGTAAAATGAAGCACCAATTTTCCACACCATGTCATCAACAGGGCACAGTTAGGTGGTATTAATCAAATAAATCACTGCATGGTGTATGGCACTTTATGTGAAGTGCATGGGTCCCATTCCTGATCATAACTAAACTTTGAGGCAGTGAGGTCAGCACTTATTAGCAACATTAACCTTGCAGAAGCTAGCTTCAGACACTAAACATGTCTTGACTGATCAACTATATTTGGTTTAGAGAGATTTTTTTTTTTTATTAGATTTTTACACCACTGTCATTTTAAAGGAGGATTGGAAAATGCATGAACACAAGACTTGTTACTAAGAGTTAATAAGACATTTGTGACATATATATTTGGTTGACTTTGCTTGTGTAAGAAGAGATGGAACGCATGTCCTTCCTTAAACATTTTGTTCCCTTTTTGATATCACTTTTTTGCCAGTCCACTGTAGATGTTTAGTAGATGCTTATCTTGTCTTTAGATACACTATGTTGCCAAAAGTATTCGCTCGTGTGCCTTCACATGCATATGAACTTGAGTGACGTCCCATTCTTAATCCATAGGGTTTAATATGATGTCAGCTCACCCTTTGCAGGTATAACAGCTTCAACTCTTCCAGAAGCGCATTTGTAAGGTCAGACACTTATGTTGGATGAGAAGGCCTGGCTCGCAGTCTCCGCTCTAATTCATCCCAAAGGTGTTCTATCAGGTTGAGGTCAGGACTCTGTGCAGGCCAGTCAAGTTCTTCCACACCAAACTCTCTCATCCATGTCTTTATTGCACAAACATGGTCCTCTGCAACTGCATTCAATGTGGTCTTTAACTTGCATGTTTTAATGATGAAGATCTTTAATGCTAATCACATACAAAGTACTAAATAACATTTTTTATTAAACCTTTACACATCTTGTGTAAAATGTCAACTCCAGATTGCAAGACAGCCGTTCAAAAAGTCCACATGCTATACATATTAAAAAATAAGATGTTCTTATTTGCTATAGTGGAGGTGCTCTGGAATTTAACTTTAGATGCCTTTGGGAAACCACGAAGTATTATATTTTCATAAGTTTACAACTTTTAATATTTGACATTATTTAGCAAGCTGTTTTTGAAACATCATCACCATTATTATATTAATTCATAACCATAAATAAAACTGCAAATTAATTATAGGCACAAATAAGCAAAATTAATAAGTTGTGAAAGTGTGTAAATGCTAGTACAAACAAAGCAGTGATTTCTAAATCCACTTTAATCTGTATTTCAACAAAAAAACAATGCAAAGACAAAATATCTAATGTTTTACCTTATCAGCTTTATTGTTTTTTTGTAAACAAAAGCTCATTCTGAAATGGATACCTGCAACACATTCCAAAAAAGTTCAGACAGGGGCAATTGAAGACTAGGAACATTAAGAAATGTTCTTCAGCAAGTGATGCTTTCATGCTTGTGTATGAAAGGAGCATCCAGGAAAGGCCTTGTCCTTTAAACCCTTACATGGCAAGGCATGCTGGCAGTCCCAAAGTTTTATTACACATTATTGTAGTTACTGAATAATAAGCCCTAGTATGTAATAAGTCTGGGATTTTGAGGAGTTAAGGATGGAACGAGGCTAACCATTTTGCCAAAAAATGCATCAGTGAATAATCCAGCAGTTTAAGAAACTTAAACTTGACTTCAAGAATTTCAAGTATTTCACCATCTATAGTGCATAAAATCATCAAAATATTCAGGGACTTCTCTGAGCTCCAACTCATCTAAAATGACGACATCTTTCTCAGGGACATCTATGCTTTTCAACATGATAACCCCAAGCCATAGTCTGCACATTAATGTGGTATGCACAATATGGCTGCTTAATCAGAGCATGCAGATGCACTCTCTAGACTGGCCTGCCTGCAGTCTAGAAGTGTCTCCCACTGAAAACATGTGACACATAATGAAGCGCAAATTACGATAACAAAGGCCTCATACCACTACGCAGCAGAAAATTCAGCTTTCAAAACTGGACCAATTGGTGTCTTTAGTCCTCAACGATTGTGTATTAGGTGATGTAACACAGTGGTAAACATGCTCCTGTCTAAACTTTTTTTGGAACATGTTGCAGACATTAATTCCAATGATCGTATAACAAGAAGTTCATAAGATAAAAACATCAAACATCAAATATTCTTTTCAATTGAATACAGATCAAACAAAATTTACTAATGACTGCTTTTTACTTAGCATTTTACATACTATCCCAACGTTTTGGGAACTGAGGTTTGTATTATTAAATTCAACTTGAGTGTTCCGTAACCCTAATTCTCATTCTACCCCTAACCTTAACCTGAACCCAAAACCTTAACCTAACACTGGTTCTACTCTTAACCACAATGTTATTGGTAATCAGTTGAGTTCATAATGTGAGCATTTGTAGATTATCCTTTGTGGAGTATCCTAAATAAGTGACCTTTCTGTTTCATTTTTTTCAACAAGTGTTCTACCAAAGCAGAGGAGAGCAAAACAGACAGCAAAGGCAACAAACGCTTCTCTCTCATCCCATCATAAAGCATCTCAGTGTCGCTTTTTCCCGCTCTGCAGTGGCTGATTAGAATATTTATTTTCCAGCTCTGTGCTTCTAGCTGTGCCGTAACAACTTTTCATTTATCACCCTCCACTCCGTGTCCACGGAGGGGCCGGGGGTGCATGGCCGAAGGACAGCAATTACAATTTATGGCCCTCTTTGATCCAGGATTAATTAAAATGATCCGTCAAGGTGGCCTCCCTGTCCGCTGCAGTTACTACATTATATTTGTGCCGTGACTGCTCTCAAACGGGTCAGCAGAGCGTTACAGAATGGACTGCAGGGACTGACCCAACACCAAGAGCCGAGGAAAATAGACTAGGCCCCAAGACTGAGGTGTTTATTTATCATCTGAGTCCAATTGAGCTTCTTATCTTCTTCTGTAAGAAAAAGCACTTACAACACTGATGGTGTAAAATAGCAAATCCCAAAATACATACTGCATGTCTATATACTCATCATGCACAGATGAACATGCATTAGAGCCTGTTATTTAAAAACAAAAGTTTTCAATCAGGAGTAGGTTCAACAAACTTTTTACAGGAAGATGAATAACTACTATTCTGTTCTGCTGTGTTATTCTGCTCCATAGAGCATGCAAAAAGTAAATTAGTATTTACTTGATGTGATGAGGCAAACGTGTTGCCCATCACCAGAGACTATATATGTGTGTGTGTGTGTAATACTTACCTGAACACCTACCTGTAATACTCACCTGTTGTCTGTTTCCTAACACCAGCAGCAAAGGGAGGCAGAGCAGAGGGAGCTCACTCATGAGTGTGCCGGAGGGCCCACGGCTAGCTCATGAGAGGGGTGATGTCTCTACCTAGGTCACAGAAGACAGAGTGAGATAGACTAGTAAATGTGCACACCGTATGAAACATCTTGCCGGTAATGTCATACATTAAGGCCTTGTGATGTGAGATTATGATTTTATCTACCCTTGTTTTTAATCCACTCTTATAGGACAGCAACACCCCTGCAGAGTGGAATGGTTTAGCTCAGGTGATGCAGGGGTGGGGCTAACCCTATAAGAGGTAGGGGAAAGGTGTAGTGGGGGGCTCGAAGATACTCACCTCAGACTGTGAAGAGACTGAGGGGAAGGGAGTAAGAGCCAAGCTAGAGAGAATATAGTCCTATGGCCTTGCGGCCTAAGACTGCTTACCTGGACTGATCGAGTCAGGTCAACATTTTACCCACCACTTACTTTATGTTTGTACAGTTTTTCTTTTGTGTGTTTCCACCATGTAAATAAATCTCACTGATTGCCAAGAATCATCCAGAGTCGTCACATCTTCAGTCTGCAACTGCATTCCAACACCCATTCAGTCACAATCTACCTGGTGACTTCGTGTCTCCTCATGGGGTTCGGCGGAGCATCGTCACACTTGAGTTCTGATCTTACTCTTGGTGCAACAAATGAAAGTAGTGACTGAGAGTGCAGAATGTAGTTTATGGTTTGGTTGCAGTGTGACAAAAAGGAAAACAGACATAAAGGTTAAATACCTATTGCTGCCTTATATAATGATTTGCAGAAATTATTTATTTCGAGAGATACAATTATGAGTTGTTTAAAAAGTATCCATTCCTCCATAAACAGGTTGGGAAAAAAATGTAAAAAAAAAAATTGTAGCTGGAACCTAATACAAAGAATTACTATACTGAAATTTTGTAATTATTTTCTGTTATTTTTGGATTACTTATCTTTTTAAAGTCAAATAATTGAAAAAAGGCAAATTTCAACAAGACTTAATCAAGAATGTAACTTAACACAAGGGTTAGGGTTAGGAAAACAGAAAAAAATGCACTGTTTTATGAAGCAAAATGGTAATTTATAAGTGACTCACTCACTCGTCAGTGCTTTATACCAAAGTCAAAAAATCTGGTGGACATCTTTAGAGACCCCTCATCAACAACAATCATAGAGTCCATTCATAAACTCTGACTGCTCATCCTTTGTGTTCTGTCTGCTAAAGGGCCTATACTGCTTCATAAAGCTTTATATTGATGTGTTGTGACTTAGATGATTACCAATTGAGATGTAATTTGTTATGGTCTATACAGTCCACAGAAATCAATGTGTCTTATGGGTTTTAACTGAGAATTGATTGTTTAAGCTACCAATAATGACAATATATACATTTTAACATTTTTGCATCCATCATTTGAAAACACAGATAAGTCAGACAAGACAGAGGAGGAAGTGTCTCCATCAGACTCCTCTGGCTTTTCAGGCATCTGATGCTTTGGGTGGGCTTTCACTTTCGTTTCTGTAAAGGTACAATCAGTCAAAAGTTATATATATATATATATGTATATCATGCTGACTTCTGTCATTAGACTATATCAATTAATTACTTTTGGCTAATCCTTTGATTATTCTGCCGATTAATTGAGTAATCTTTTTTTCTGAGTACATCAAATAAACAATAACTCAACTGAACAATAACAAAGCAAACAAAGCCTTTCAAAGATTATGAAATACTAGGAAAAAGAAACAAAGCAACCAAATAAAGACATTTGACTAACAGCAAAAAAATAAAAATAAAAAACACAGAAACTGATTAAAGTAAACAAGAAAATACCATGACACTTTAAAAAACTGGAAAAAAAACCTTGAAAAAACTATAAATATTTTAAAAATCCCAATACCTCTAATACTATATACAATATGTGGCAAAAAAAAATAAAACTAATGTGCCCATCAGGCTCTGTTTCTTACTGTAGAGAGAGCAGTAGGAGAATTTAAAATATGTATTATCATGGTATCTGCATGAATGAGCAAATTAAATTCAAAACTTTAAGTCATCTGCATTTACATTTTAATGCCATTTAGAGAAATTTGGAATGCTACTTTGAGATACTCATTTCATGAATTAGCCAATTGTCAGTCACTTGCCACACTTTTCATTGTGCAGCAGTGTTTAATACAGAAATCTTTACTTCATAGGCCAGAGTACCACAGCTACCATAAAGCTAATTTAGATGAGATTTTCGGTATTAGCATGGCATTAGCTGACAAATGGATTATGTTCACTTCTCAAACTAGGTTTAGCATTTAAATGTTGTAGTAAGCAATATTTTTTCTTTGTATGTTTAGAGTTTTTTAGAAATTTAACCCTCCGATTAAAACTTAAAAACTCTTAAAACCTAACTCTTAACATTACTCTAGAATCCTGTCTGCACAGCCTAATGAGTAACATTATCCATGTCATGACTGTATTTAGCCTAAGTTTTGGTTGCAGGGACACTTTATAAATTGAATGTGAAACTGGAAATAATGTTGGTTATAACTGAACTTCCTGATAACTTACCAAGGTAGTTACTTGGACCAGGAATCTGTTCCATTTTTGAGCGGATCAGCTCCTGAATTAATTCTTCTTTCTTTGACAATCGTGACTGGAGATGTTCTTTGTCTTGTTTGAGGTTTTTTTTTATAGTTTCTTCTCTGAGGTTCCCTTTATCCTTCTCAGCCTCCAGTTGCAATTTCAGCAGCTCAATTTCATGGCTGGCATTTGGTGCAGCACTCACTGAAGGGGAAACATAGAACAAAAAATAAAAAATAAAAGCTGCATGTATAAATTAATGTTTATGACCTTTTACTTAACTTACTTAACTTTAACTTAGACATTTAGAGTTTTGAATGACCAGTGGCAGTTTTGTGGAGCAAGTACACCTGCCCTGATAACACTCTATTATTATCTGCTGGTATACAGATTACCAAGCAGATTTAAGCACTATGCCCAACCATTACGGAGAAGTCTGGTGCATAAAGATTAAGGATTGAAGATTACTGTTAAAAACAAATAAACAAGAGCACAGGATAACATCTAAAATTACAATCTACCTATGTTTTGAGACTGAGATGCGGTGACAGATCCAGGGGCTTTTCGTCTACTGGAGGCTGTAGAAACAATACAAATACTGGCTGCTCTCAGCGTTTGGATTTTCAGTCAATTCATTTTTAGCTTACAAAAACAAAACAGCTAAACAGATTAGCTAGCTAAGCTAGCTTATTAGGCACTACGTTTTTAGGCTAACGTTAGTCACAGAAAACTGACTGTAACTTCGAGTAGAGTAACGTTATAGGCTATTGAAGGCTAGGCATGAAAGTTAGGTATGTCTTAAGCTTAGGTATTTTTAAATAATACATAATGTGGTATTCTGTTCTTGAGATTTGGAAGCTTAACAAACATATGTGGCAACTGAAGGATTGAACTGAAAACCTGTTTATTAAGAAGTGCCCTTAGAAGCACGTCAGTACAATACAAAACACTCTCTTTCTATGAAACACATTTCGCCAGTTGCACTTAACCGTTGCTCCACAGCGCACCCTACTGTGTATATATGGTAACTGCTGTTTAGTTAATATTGGTACAGGACACAATATACTACACATAAAAGCTTCATTTATATGATTTACCTTTAGACATCTGGACAATTGTTAATGCTGGTTCACCTAGCCTGCGAACTAGCTAGAAATCCCAGGAGAAAAAAAAACCAGGAAGTGATTAAAAAAAATGAGCGCGAACGTTACTCTTTCCAGTCCGCGATGCAGTGGCACTTATTAACAGAGTCCGTATGAGCAGCTAGATAAAAATGACACGGATAAAAAAAAGAACTTACCAGTCTGCTGTGTGCAGAAAACACCCTGGATCACAAAAGAAAAGTTGTACTCTGGATGCAAAAAAAGAGGCCTTTTGGAACGTCGAAAACGTTGCAGATGTAACCAGGAGATGCAACTGATGAAAACTGCTCGACATGATAGATATCAGTGGTAAGTATAACACAAAGATATGTCTGTATATGTGCATGTATTATTATTATTTATTTATTTTTATTAATTTACCAATTCTTAGTAAAATTCTTCCTAAAAATGAAAGGCATTTTTTCTACTAATATTGTTCTGACTTGTAGGTTTTGTATATTTCTGTTACATGCTACTTTTTTTTAATGAGAAAATATTTTGAATGCTAGGGAAAGGTTTATAATTTCTTTTTTTGTTTGTTTGTTTGTTTCTTTTTTTTTCCTGGATTGTAACTTACATTGTGGGTCAGCAGCGTCCTGTTTGGTTGTTTCTTTGACCTCGTACATATATATCCGAATATTTTTAAAAACTCACATTTTTTTCTTCGTTTTAAAAAAAATCCTCGTCCACAACAACATCGTTTTTACAGATCTTTAGATCCCCGTTGCTAAGAACGCAAAAAACGATTACAAATGCTCACACGATCATGCCAGCCCAGTAGGGGGTGATAATACCTCATAAAATTTGATGTAAACGCCTCCAGAAGAACATTGTGAGCGTTCAGCAGAGATTTTCTAACTGAACACAGCATTGTGCTACACACACAGTAAACTTTCACTTGCAGGCAAGCAGACCTTCATAATTTGATATTTCATACTCATTCACAGACCGATTTTATCTGAAAATAAAAGCTTTAAGAGCGCTACCACTCGCTGTCATGTGGTTGTTTACGTTGACGTGGCTACGCCTATCGTCCCTGAAACGTGCACACAGTCCTGATAAGGCAGAGAAGCTGACTTTTTCAAGCTTTTTACTCTATTTAAATTATGGAATTATGATTGTTTTCTCCACAAATTTGATTAAATGATCATATATCTTTAGAGTTACTTAGTTAAGTATTTGAATTATTTGTAATCAAAATGACACCCAAATTAATAGAATGCAGTTAAATTCTAGAAGTTCACATATAAACATTATCACCTTCAAATTGTTAAGCACACAGAAATCTAGTCTTCTGAAACTTCGGACGTGAGGCTTTCAAACGTTTGTCTATTTGCAGTAGCCTAAGGATATTTTCCTTGTAGACAAGAAAGCTTATATGTACGTCTTTTTGATTGAGTGTTTTGCATACACAGTAAATATATTAATATTAATATCATATTCCCCAACAGGATGTGTAAAAGACATTGTTTTCGAGGCAAATCAGTGTCCTTTCGCAAAGGAACCATTTTTTATAGTTCACATACAAGTCTGCAAAATCATCTGGAGTTCATTTACAGGTGTGTGCACATTTTGCTAAGACAATTTGATGATATTCTTCTGATCAAGATAGTTAAACTGGTTAAGCCAATACACTGGCTTAGCTGATTTACCAGCATAAAGCATGTTTTCATTTGGGTTTGTAGCGAACACTGGCTGAAACTCTACCTCAAGCAGAGTGTTTACCCAAAAGTTAAGGTCCTTTTGGCTCCAACAAGTCTGGGATTGTGGCATAAAGCTGTCGGCTTAATACCCCAACCCCAGACTCAGTCAGATTTACGGCTGAATCAAGAGGCTGCACCCCTCTCCTTTGACCTGGAGAAAAACAGGACCCTTCACTGGAATGCAGCTGCACGGCTCTCCAAAATCCTGTGGACAACTTTTTATCTTAAGTAACAGAAAGTACATTTCTAAGGTGCTTGTCCCCTACAAACTACAACCATTCGTTAGAACTCTTTTTAACTAAATTAGACATACCAAAACGGAATTTGTACGACTTTGGACGGCAAAATTCCAACTTTCTAAATTCCCTAGGGATCTCAAGTATGGACCCACAGCATCCCCAAGGGGTGAAACCACAAATTACCACATCACCACCATAAGGACTTGTGTTTATAAAAAAACAAGAAAACTTCGTGCTTTGTCTGCTTGATTCTGCTTGATGATTCGTGCTTTGTCTCCTTGATTATCAAAGTTTCCATGATCTGTAAGTAATACTACTTGTGGTATTAATCTTGTTTTTGGGTAGTACCTAAATATTACCTGTATCTTTTTTTTATCGTTAAGTGCTAGAAATACGTAGAGTATAACTTTGATAACAGTCAGACCCAACCTTTTAATTGCTATGAGTTTAGACCATTGACCAAGATGTATCCTGAATGTGGTTTTCATTTCTTTCTTCCTTTGTTCCTTTCCTTTTATTGTTGATTTTATTTTTTTCATGCATTGGGTCATGTTCAGAGTTGGTAGGCAAGTAGTACCTGTGTTCTTTGACATGTATTGTGTATCAGGTAACAAGGGTTAAACTCTCTCTTAGAAACATGCCTGAATATCTAAATTGTTCATTCCTTGATTTTGAAAGTTAAACCAATTGGATGATATAGAAATGTTCTTTTTCTTTGTTTAAACTAGCTGAAACAAAGGAGGCAGTGATTTTGGGGAAGGCATTCCTCAAACTATGCACAACCAATCAGAGAACCTTATGTGAAGAGAACCTATCAGCACTCTGGCACCACCTCCAAAGGGTAGGGCCTCCAGCCGAGCAAAACCCGAGTGCACCGCAAATGTGCAGAGTTCCTGCGTTCGCTTAGTTTCTAAGTTTGTGCCGGCCTAGGTCAGAAAGACAGGTCAGAAGTATTAGGATGCTAAATTATCAGATCTGAAACCTTTGTTTGTTTTGTAACTTGCCTGTTCGCCTACACACCTTAAGTTTGAACCACCCTCAGAGAAGGAAGGTGGATATTTCTTGTCTGGCCCGGGAGGATATATCCATAACTTTCGATTCTGCTAAAGAGAAGTAGTTAGTTAAATTGGTACCACCAGCCTCAGAACCCTGATTGCAACCTGAACCTCGCCAGCGGAGTGGGAGCGGTTCGGACGCCACGGAGACCCAGCATCGCACCCAGAGCCACGCACTGATCTGTGAACAGATCGACCCTCGAAAGGCCGCCCAAGCTGCACCGTCAGGCGGCTACGAGACGCCTCCGCCCAATCCCTGACGGAAAGGCGCGTGCCCGCACGGAGACGCAGCATCCACGGCCAGCGAGGAGAGGAACCACCGCGTGAGTTCCAGCCTTCGATCGAGTCTGTCCTGAGACGACCCCTCCTGAAATCAGCCCCCGACTCCCACGTAAGCTGGAACCATCAATTTGCAGTCAGGGCCCTGACGCCAATTTATTTAATAAGAGAACTTTTATAGGTACATCCAGCCATATAGTTCTTCCCGTCCAGGCTTAGGTTAATTCTCTAGAGGCTCTCCTAAGCGACTTCCCAAACCACACTGCCTCATACCACTTAGCCGTGAATCACTCTAACTTACTCGAGCTATTTTGTCTTTCATTACTATCACTTTGTTTTGTTTTGTTTTGTTTTCTTGTTTTATTTTATATTGTTTATCATTGAATGTAGTCCAAAGTAGTTTGATATTTAGCCAATAAATTCTCTTTTCTGAAGCATCCTTGGTGCAAGCGTTTCTCTCTCTTGCCCTGGTCTGTAGACTTCAAATAAATCCGGGTTACCTCACACCCTCACATAAGGTTCTAGCAATAATAATATTAAAAATTGCAAAACCCGTTACAGGTTTAATGGTTTAGCTGCTGTACTAGCATGTTCAGCTAGTAGAGCACTAGTCCAAGTTGGACTACCAGTTTAACCAGTAGACCAGCATAGGGTATGTTTTTGTCTAGTACAGCTGGAAATCCAGCCAGTGAACCACCTTGACCATATCAGACCAGCAAGAAGCTAATGACCATCAAAGACCAACTAAGACAATCTGAAACCAGTTACCAACAAATATTGGTCTTAGGGATTGTTAACAGCTGAACAAATTATCATTGGTTTTCTTTCAATGTGCAGGTATTCTCAAGGTCTTAGAATGCAGCACATTGACCTCATAGATGATGGTGTTGCTGCCAGCAGCAGAACCCTCTCAAAAATGGCATCAGACATGAGAAAAGTATGTATAAGTAATCTGTCTGGTATGAACTGCATATCAGGGAAATATCAGTGTGTACACTGACACCTTGAGAATACCTGCAAACTGCAAGAAAACCAATGATAATGATACAGTCCTAAATCAAATATCAGTTGCTCTTTGAATGCTAGAGAATGATCAATGAGTGTGATCAAAAACATTTTCACTGGCTGTTTGTTGGGCCAAATTATT